CCAACAAATGGATCCATGAACGAGGAAACGAATTCCGACGTCCATGCGGTTTGAAGATGTCCGATGGGGAAAGGTAAAGTTACTATTCTTTATTCTTCAAGTTCATTACACATTTTTTAGGTTCATCGGTGATCTCGGCTATGGTCCAACACCAAGGAATCATCCGAATCTCAGTCCAGTACTATCTAAGGACGTCTTTAACACAATTTAAACGCCATCCTGAGCACTAGGACTAATTGGTTAGGCTCATTGTCGTGACCCTTGGGTACAGGTGCATTTAATGAGTTTAATAATTGTTCATGAGTTCCTCAACAGGGAACAGAGTGGTGGTGCCAATGTCTTTGCTAATTTCAAATTTTTCTAAATAGGGTAGCACGGAATCCCTGCTATACAAAAGCTGAGATTACGGTAAGTTCATCTTTTTCTGTCCTATTGTTAAATGTTGTGTGTGAGTTTAACTGATAGATCTGAGCACCACCGCTCTTCGCTGCTGAGAGCAGAGAATATCGTTGTTGTTCAAAGAACACCTGTGCCATGACATCAACGTCAGAATCTCAGAAACTGACGCTAAGGTCGCGTCATTGGTCCTAGCTTCGTGCTCCTAGTGATTCTACACGTTGTTTCTGTTTTGTTTATAGTGCGGTGTTATCGGGTGGTGATTACTTGTTTTGCGAATGCCTTGCCAATCAGCTTTCTCCTTAAGTTTGCCAAAAATCTCTTTTCCCAAGAAAAAATAATTCCCAAACAGTGAATATTCCGTTCTTTCTTAGCCTTAACCCTGCCCATACTTCCCACCTTCGAAACGTTGCGAGGTTTTTCTGTTGATTACTGCTAAGATGGTGAATCTTGCAGTTTCTTTTTTTTAAAATATCATTATTTATTTATTTCACGTTGGTAACGTGCTGGGTCCTACTGAGAATAAACTCGATAGCCCAAATACAATAATTAGAGACCCAGACATCTTGCCCACTTCTGTTATTTTCTATTTCTCGCATATTTCTAAATTTTCTGAACTTTTGTTGCTTTGAATATTGTGATAATGTTCATGTTTATATGCTCGAACATTCACAGTCATTACAACAGGATGACCAAGCTTTGGATCAGAGAACACAGG